TTAGTGACATCTAGTGGTGAGGTTTGCAAACTGCAACCAGCTGAAACTTTTCTTCTGAGAAGTCCTTCAGTGTTCCCTTAAATCCTGCACACTGGACCTTTTTAAAAACTAAATGAGAAAGTTTTCATACTGTATGAAGCAGCTGTGAATACTCATCTATGTACATTTTAGATTAATACAGACTTTTTTTTCATGAATAGTCCTGAATAAAATTAATTGAAATTTTCTTATTTAAGTCAGGAGAGTTTTTGATTAAGACTGTTATTTACTTTTTTTAGAATGACTATGTGAATTCTACACATTTCAAGTTTCAAGTTACTCATTGTTATATGCACAATAATTACAGAGAAGCTATACTGACACTGAAATATCTAAGGCTCTCCTCAACAATGATAATTAAATATGTGTAAAAGCAAAATCACGCAAGTAAAAATAAGAGTCTGCAACAAAATAGTGCAGAAAGTTAATATCAAGGGATGATATGTAACAAAGAGGAAATATAAAATAAAATAATTTATATTTGTGGTAGACAGGTGTCAAAGAGAATGTAAACATGAGTATATAAAACATAAAGTGACAATTTGGGATGCACTGATTGTCTAAAATAACAGTTTTGCCCTATACTGATGTTTTTGTTGTTTTTTATTTGTGTTGGTTTTTTTTTTTAAATATTCATCTCCCTTTTTGTGCCAGAGCAACAAAGAAATATACTCTATAAAAAATAATTGAACTGTTTTAAAGTCATTCAGTCATTTGATACACTACCTTCGAATAAGCAGAAATTCAATCATACACATTTATGAAACAACCTTTAATATAACCGTTCACGTTAAAACATCTTTAGAATAATAACTGCTTCAAAAGTCTATTGCCTGTATGAAATATATCATAATCTCTTGGCTATTATCTGTTTAATTCTTTGTGAAGACATCAACAGATTTCTCCTTTAAACAGCTAAATTTATTCAGTCTTCTCAGCAAAAACTATTGCCTGTTTTACAAGATTACATTGAACACATCATAAGAAGGTAATAATTAACCTTCGTCCAATATTCGTTTTTACCGCAGCGGGCTTGAACGCATCATAATGTAACTCAACCCAAACCTCTGTCAGCAGTTAGTTCCACCAGCCGCTAACGGCTAATGTTACCTAGCTCTCGTCCTGCTGATTTCAAAACAGATTTATTGTTCAGGATGTAGCAAATATTGAAGAAACAACAGAGTGCGTGCTCTGATGTGTCAGTTGTGAGTTTACTGCGTCCTTTTGTTCTGGGGGCGTCCCGAAGAAGGTCTTTGTTCATCCAAATCATGTTTTCTATTGTCCACGGGACAGCAGGACACCGTTTGTCTTAAGCTCTGCTATCAGCCTGCGAAAATTGATGTAACAAAGTAAAAAACATCAGCAGCTGCAATTGGTGAATGTCACAGTATGTGCCGACAGTCAACAAGGCAAATATTGCCCAGTACCAATGTGGGGCTGATAAACTGGTGCATGCTTAGTGGCCCTATAAATGAATTTACTTTGCAGCATGTTGACTGTGTGTTGCTGTTCACAGAACGTCCAACATTACTGTCTGTGACTAATATTGCAGTGCGTCTTTATCTTTTTTTGGAAGTGTTTTGAGCGGTGTGTTTTCTAATAGTATCATCAGGTAGAGTTAATCCTTCTGTGTGTGTGTGTCCGTCCTACAGGCAGGCAACAGAGAGGATGACTCTACAGAAACAACTGCAGAGACTGATGGACCCCAACAAGGCAGATGGGACACCGTCCAGATCGCCCAGGTAACACACATGCACACATACAACATTTAGGGCCCGCACAGAAACCTATTCTCTTTTGTGGTATTCAACAACCACGACTACACTTTGGCCCGCACAAGTCTGGAGTTTTATTATTTGTAATGTTGGAAGTGTAGATGCTTTTATACCACGATGAGTTTCTTCTCATCCATTGTGACCGCGGCGAAACCAAAGAGTAAGACGATCTATCACCTGACAAAGAGCAGTCCAGGTGCTGTTCTGAGTGGCAGTGCTGGAAAACAGCACTCGCCACATCGATAGTTGTCACTCCCTAAAAGAATACAGCACAGCAGGGATTGTGGAGTGATGATGGTAACCTCCACTGAGAAGAGCTTGTACTCAGAGCCTCAGATATGAGCGGCAGCGGCGGTGGTGGCGGCAGCAGTAGTGAGGACAAGAGATGGCAGCATTTACAGCAGCTTTCAGGTGAGATGGCTTAAATACACCACCTGAAGCAGCTCTGAGGGTTTAGGGAGGTGGAGGATGAGCAGTCTGCTCTCTACTGTTTATTACAATTATTGTCTCATTATTAATGGTTTTGATTTTTAAATGTAATAATAGGTAAGGTAGATAGGTAGATAAAGGGATTTCAGAGCTAAAATGAGTTTAACTTAACCACACAGACTCCATGTGTTGTTACTGTATTGGTGATAGTAGCAGATGCACTAGTAGAGTAGTAGCAGTTGAAGTAGGAAGAGTTGCAGTAGTTTCATAACATGCTGTAGTGGGAAAAGTAATTATACTAGAAGAGCCAGCACAGTACGACTATTAGTAATAGTAGTCTTAGTGTGTGGTGGTAGGAGTAGTAAGGGTGAAGGTCTTAGTAGTCGTAGTAATGATTGAAGGTGTTACAGACAAACACACTTGAAACATGTAAAAGTAAAGGATCCTTTCTGTCTCCCTCTCTGGACTCCAGCTCCCATCAGCCCTCAGTGGAGGCGTGGCCAGAGATGATGTTGACAGCGGAGGTGACTCCAGGGGACGGTTGGTTGGTCCGTCAGGGAGGGGTGGGTCCAGATTCGGTGCTGCGGCAGCTGCTGGGGAAGGACATGTCGGATACGCTGTGTCCCAGGGAGAGGCTGCCCCCGGCGGGCGGCCCCGGGGCCACTGGGCCCCGCAGGACGGGGCTGGTGGAGAGGAGAGAGCTCAAACTGGCGAGACTCAGACAGATCATGCAGCGCTCTCTGAGTGAATCCGATTCGGACGGTTATCCACCGGAGGACGGTAAGAATCAAGGAGCGGCGGCCGTGAGCACACTGCGACCTGATAGGCCGTCCCATCTGCCAATCGCAGAGGAGGAGCCAGTGTCAAACCACCTTAATCTGATGATGAAGAAGCACCTGCCTTCCTCCTCCTCCTCTTCCACAGCTGACAGGAAGCTGGCGTTTTCAGTCAGTGGGTCAAAGTCGGTAGACAGCATGGGTTACAACCCCTCCCCCACCTCCAGCGACCCCGAGGCGGTGGACGGTAAAACACCAGACGCTTCCAGTGACTTCCACGACGGCGCCAACGGCCAGAAAGTTGCCACCAGCCCCAAGAGCGCCCTGAAGTCGCCCTCGTCTCGCAGGAAGACGTCTCAGAACCTCAAACTGAGAGTCACCTTTGACGAGCAAGTTCACAAGAGCTCCAATCAGGAGGCGGAGCAGACCAAAGGGCATCATGGGAAGGAGAGGACTCCTACAGGAAGCTCTGAAAGCAAGCGGCCGTTCGGGGCGTTCCGCTCCATCATGGAGACGCTGAGCGGAAACACAAACCACAACAACAACAGTGGTGGTCAGTCAGGCTCCACCTGTCAGAACTCACCTGGCAGGAAGTCAGAGAGTAAAGGCAGCCCAGGAGGAGGCGGGGCCAGAGGCAAGAGCAAAACCAGTAACGTTTAACCAACGAGTGCCTACTGAAGGGCAGAGAGCACATAATGAACAGACCGACTGAGCAAACAGCAAGAGGCAGACAACATGAGAACTTTATACTGGAATTACAGTAGAGATATATCTGACATTAATCACAGATAAACCTACATTACCTTACTTTCGGGCGTGTATCGCCACACTGCCGACATTTTACTCTGTCCGTCACCGCACGCTGTTTGATTGCGTTATCAAAACACGCCACTATTATTCAGCCTTGCTTTTCACTTATTCCACGAATACCGAATGTGTGGGTTTTTTTTGTTGTTTTTTTTTGCAATATTCAGCCGAATATATTCGGTTACCGAATATTCGGTGCATCCCTAGTTTTGTGGTTAAAGGTCACTGTAACCTTGCGTCCATCTCATTCTTATGAACACAATATCTCAAAAACACCTAATGGGAATTTCTTTAGATTTGGCACAAGCATCCGCTTGGACTAAAGAATGAAAGGAGAGGAGAATCAAAGGTCACAGTGACCTCACCAAACTTTTGACCATAACTCAAGAATTCATACGTTAATTTTGACAAAACTTCCCCACAGACGTCTAACAGGATATTATGATGAAGTGATGTGCGCCTGGTGGCTCAGTGGTTAGAGCAGGTGTCCCATATACAAGGGCAATGGTATTGACTTGTCTTTACTTTAGCCGCTACTGGTTGCTAATTGGTTTAATTGTTTTTGACAACGTATACTCAGAAAATTACTTCCAGTCTTTAACAATGCTGTATATCATTACTCGTTTATTGTCTCACTATTGTCCATAATGTCTGGACAGAAACAACACAAACGTCCGATAAATAGAGCCATAAACATTTTAATCTGAGCACAGTCGAAAACATCAGCAACACCTGTGCTGACTGGGATGAATTTAAATACCATGGGCTGCCTCAGCCAGTGACAGAAGCCACCTAGTGGCGTGGTGGGATAGTACATTTCACACAAGTCAAACAAATGGCTCCAACAGCAGTGTCCTCGCCACAGCAATCCTATTCAATAAAGGCAAAAAGGCAAAAATGAATCTTAAATAATAATAATAATAATTATTATGCAGTGATGACATTTTATATCCAAAAGGTCAGAGGTCTAAGATGTGTGTGAAGCATCCATGTTTTCACAGATGTGCGTGCACTGGAAATGCAACTGGACAGATTTGCGTAGTCATAATCCTAGTTTGACAAAATAATTTCTGCTAAAGGCCCACTTATTAGCTTTCCCTGGAGCTTTAAACTATCTCATGGTTTTCATGAGTGGATGGAATTTGCCTAATTGTCACTGATAGGTCAATTCCAGACGATAATCAACAGACTGTGAGTCAAGATATTTTGTCAGACTATCATTCCCAGGGTCAAGTAGGAACTTTCACACTCAATCAATCAGATTAATTTAAATAGTATTTGCTCAGACTTCTGTTTTTATACCTGCAAACCGTGAAGTTTCTCATGTTCTCTGCCTCTGATGTTTGACCTTTGATGGTTTTCCTACAGTTTAAGGACTGAAAGACAAAACAGAAACTCTGTTATCGTCTGTTATTTTGTTCACGTGTAGCTGATGGCGTTAATCGGACTCACTTCAACGTGAAAGAGAAGAACCTGTGAGTGTTTAATGATACTGAAGCTGTTGTTTTTATATTGACAGACTGAAGGAAGTGTGTTTGCGTATTAATCAGCATCCTGCAGAAACCTCACATCTCCATATCACCACTTATCATTTATATTTTAGTTTCATCACGTTTCGTTAGATTACAGAGTTCACTGATCCGTTAAACCGAAGCAAAGTGTCAAATGTTTCTGACTGGAGACGACAGGTTTCTGTTCCTCTGCCACTCTGTTACTGAACTACACTAAAAATGAAGTATTAGTATTTATGTTTATGCACACAGTTACATGATTTGAAATTTTAAAATATGTGGTTATAATCCTGCACGTGGTCAACGTGCACCAGCACAACAAATCCTTTTAAAACCACTGTATATATAGTAGTATTTAATTTCTTTTTTTTTTTACGTTTCACATCATATTCCACACGTTTTTTATTTTATTTCCATGATTATTATCTATGCAGTATTTTTGGCATGAAGTAGACTTTAGTTGTGTGATGTGTTTGAGACGGGGAGGTTTAAGGATGCACCTTCTACAGCGGCCGACGAAACGGCCGATCGTTTGAACTTTAGGAGAAAGAAGAGATTCTATACAGCGTTCACAAAGCTGAGAGTAGACAACTGAGGCTGTTATCTGATGCTCTTATCCAGTGTTTAGAGTTTAGTGAGGCAATAAGTGCTGCTCATTTTCTGTTTCTGGTGACATGTTTACAGATGAACTCTCCTTAGCTTAAAGCTATGTTCATACATTAAGCTCAGTGTGTCAGAGCCATGGATGGTGTCACTGATGAGGGGAGAGAGACTTTATTAGGCTGTCTCCACCTCTTACTATTACCTAATACTTTTAGCATAATGACAGATTCAGGGCTGCTGAAGTTAGAGGGGACCTATTATGCTTTTCTTTATTTTCTTCATAAAGTATTATAGCCCAATGATTTCAGATGACATGACCAAAGTTTCAATAATTTAAAAAAAAATCACTGTGATCAAAAACGTGAGGCTTCAGACCGTTCTGAATACGCTGGTTCCAGCAAATTTTCTATTTTTGTGACAAGTTAATGTCAGTTCATGAAGATTTCAAACACTTTACTTGGAGGTATCGACATAAGAGTGACATGACACTGTCATGAACTTGTCATGAACATTATGTACATGTCATAAACGTTTATGACTGCTGTCATTAAGTGTCATTAGGTTTGTGTAATGACAAGTTGACATTGTTTGGGTTGTCTTGATTATGACAACTTGACATTTATTAAAGTGACATTACCAGAAGTTGTCTTTGTCATGACAAGTTAACATTAAATTTGTTTGGGATGTCCCTATTATGACAACTTGACATTAACCAGGATGACATTACCAGAAGATGTCTTTGTCATAACAATAATAATCATCATGTCAACTTGTCATAAACACAAAAAGAGGAGCATTTTTTGTTAATGTCAACTTGTCATGACAAAGACATCTTCTGGTAATGTCATAAACGTCATAGCAGTCATAAACGTTTATGACATGTACATAATGTTCATGACAGGTTCATGACCATGTCATGTCACAGTTATGACAGTGCTATTTCACTCTTATGTAGCTACCTTCAAGTGCTGCTGCAGAACACTTGATACCTTTTCACTCGCTCCTCTGTAAACTGATGCTGGGTGGAGACACTAGAGTCTCACCAGCAGCCCCATGAGGCTGCAGTGTGAATTACACCTCAGTTTACAGAAACAGACCTGTTAAAACTTTACAGTATTGTGAATAGAGATGTAATGTTTTTCTTGAGGGTGGTGCGAGAGGAAAGGTCAAGGGCTTCACCAGAATCACTATGAATCATCCATGAGGAATATCTACGTCTAATTTCATGGAAATCTCTTCAGTCCAAAGTATTTCAGTGTTTCCGTCACTTCCTTTAAAAGGAAACCTTTAACCTTTTGGGACATTTCTGTCTCATAGTTTGATTACAAGATTCATATCTGTGTTCATCTTTACAGCCACTAATGAAGCAAAATCTCCTCCTTACTGTTGTAGTTTTACTGTGCGTCAGTGGTTTGGAAACACTCCTGATAGAGACAGATTTCAGCCTCGGCTCTCTACTTTGTAGCTTTGGGAGAAACTGGATCATGTCTGTCGTGTTTTTGCTGCACATTAACGTCGATACAAATACTGTCTGTGGTTCTGATGCAGCAGAATATTTCTAATACAAACTCTGTGGATCTTTTCTGTCACATTCCTGACCGCTTTTACATCTGTATTTTGGATCAGTGAGATTCTGCTGAGCTGTTTACTTGTCTGGTTTACAAAGACCTTTTTTATTTTTGCAGTTCACCATGTTTAGGTTTACACACTCTTTGGTGGTCGGGGTTCTTGATGGTGGATATATTTGAGGCGGTGGAGTCTGGGAGGATTTACCTGCAGCCACTGGGCTGATTCTGACTTGTTAAAGGATCAGTCCAACATTTCAGTGTCGTCCCCGAAGTTAGATAAGAAGTTGATTAGCAGCTTCTTCTGTTAGCATCCAGTACAGATACTCTACTTCGGGAAAGGGCAGTTTTGTTGCAATAAAACTTTATTAAAGGAATTGTTAAAGGTTAAATGTTCAGTGTTTACATCGGTTGTTGATCACAGAAGTCGTACATTTGGTGTGTGCTGTAAAGGAGATAAAAAAGACCAGAAGTACAGAATAGTAGTGGGCCGAGGTGTCCACATATCTGTGTTGGATGCTCCACTTGTGTTTTTCAGTAATTCAGAGCAGGAAAAAAAATGTGGTCGTGGTTCTAGTTAAAACTTTACTGTCACTGTTCAGTCAGTCTTCTACGTTTACTTCACTCCCAGGCAATGTAAAGGTTTGGCACCAACTAGTACCAACTCAAATTCCTGTGATTCCAGTAAGCATTTCATTGATAAAAATGATCAAAAATCCCTCTAAAATACCACATTTAGACACCAAGACCTTGAGGAACACGGACAAGAATTTAACTTTTCGACAGTTGGATGGCAAGCACTTATGTTATGGAAGCTCCTGAGAAACCCCGTCATGACATAATATAACTATGGAAGCCATCCATCCTCTCGAGGTCTCTAGATTTTGGCTGTAAAGTTTCATGAGGCTGTTATTATCCTGAAGGTCACTACAGGTTGTTTTATACAGTGATGTCTTTATTTTTCTTTTTTAATGGCCTCTCTACACTACGAAACTGGGCTCATTGAATCCACAAGAGTCTCAGCTTTCCAGTCAGACCCAGTTTATGCAAATCCAAGGCTGTTACTGGACCCCAGTGTGCAGGAATATTTAATGCAATAAGTGAAAATAGTACATTTATACTGCAAATAAGTGCAAAGTTTGTGCCCAAAACTGTATGAGACTAGCATAAAGTAGACTTGTGGAGACACGTGGGTGCCCAGAAAACCCTCTAGGTCCATATGATACCACTCTTATAGTATAGTAAACAATAAACTTCCAAATTTGCAGAACTACAAAGTTTTGAACACTTTATTTTACAAAAAAAAAGTCATTTGTTTGTTGCCAGTTATTGGGGAAAATATAGATCATGCTTAGTTCTTGCAGTTGATTCAGCCCAATTACCTGCAGGTGTCGTGTGATTTTAA